ATTTGTTATAAAAAAAAGTCTTATTTGTAGAAAATAAATATTAATTAGCAATTTTATACAATGAATACATTCTGTTCTAAAATAAACAAACAAGCTTATAATACTTTTTGAGCATTCAAACAATACAATTTTTAATTTTCGCTTATTTTTCAGATGATATATTTTGTATAATTAATACACATCTTTTGGTATATATAATTTTAAGAAACATACAGTCTATTTTTTTATATATTCAATAAATTGTTAATTATCCAACAAGAAATAATCGTCAATTAAATGTCGAATCGGCGTCAAATTGATGTTAAAATCATTATATTTAATATATTGATTCGACATCAATTTGATGACTTATTCTCGCTGGAGTATTTACTTTTTAAAAATAAAATTAAAAAAAAATATTTTCTCCGTACGAATATTTTTTGCATTCACTGTATATATTTGTGAAAGAATACAAAACTCCAAAACAGGTTTTTTTTTTATTTAAATTTATTTGGAGAGAATCGCAATAATTTTGATTTATTTTGCATTAATAATATATGTATATGTATATGTGTGTATATATATATATATATGTATCACAAGACATGTAGCAGTTCTTTTCCTGGATGACTCTGACATATATACATCTTGTAAACAACCATATAAATATCTTCGATATGTAAATCAAAATCCATAAAAACTATACATCCGCTTTATATTTACAAATCAGAATATTCTGCAGATTTTATATGTGATGTGTAATTAAAATAAGCACTGCGGATATATTCCAGATGGTCTATCATCGAAATAGAAACGTCATCGAAGTATCCGGACACCGTGCAGGCTTATGCGGCCGGTTTGTTAGAGGGTAGTTTGACATGGCAAATAATCCATCATCATTGGTATAATACCGTCAACGTTGTTTGTGAGAAATGGGCATACGAATGCCAGAAATTGATGCGATTCCTTCATGAAAACACTATTATTGTCCGCGAACGTGCCGAGCGCTTAGCACCCACGGATCCATTCTGGCACATGGTAAATAGAAATTTAAATTGAAGATTAAAATATATGAAATATTTCATATTTTAAAAATATTTTTAAAATATATGAAATATTCAATAAAATGTTTGATACGTAGATTTACTTTTCTTTGTATTAAAGATTTTGAGTGTGTATTTACTTTTATTGCTTTTAAAGGAAAAAAAGAACCAGTCAGTAATTGCACATGTTCTCAATATATTGCATAGATATTAAAAGAGTGTTTCAAATTCATTTTCGCGATTTCATGCGAAGATACGTTGTAAATCGTCATTATTTTTACATCACAGGTGCGGCTGTTCTATGTTCAATTGGATGGTCTGGAGGCTGGCTGGAAATTCGCGGTTCGTCGCAGTCGGCAAACAGTGGAAATGAACAAGGAACATTTCCTCTGGCTGGCAATGGCTGCAGATCTACCGGATCTCGAGCGAACGCTAAACAGTTCCGAATCCTATCATGATCACATCAAAGGCATGATTTTCCTGAAAAGCCTATCCCGTGAAGGACTTGATCCATTGGTAGCTATTGGACATACCACTGCTGCACCGTAAGTTATCGTTATTCCGTATGTATATGTACTTCCAATAATAAATGTGGTTTATGTGAAAAAAATCAAATCAAGGTAATTAAAAAGGAAATTGATTTAAAATATAATCAAAATAATTGAAAAGAATTTAATTTAAAACATAAAAGTACTTATGTAAAGATTGTTTTTATATCAAAATATCATTCGCAATTTTTATGTTTTTTCGCTGCAAGGAAGATCGAATGTAGGTATCCTATTAATAAATAAAAATGTTTCTTAATCATGATTTGTATCGAGCTATTGTTTTTCTTACAGATACGCTAAAATGCTGAGATTATTAAAAAAATATACTTTTGGCTATCATGTTCTGCCGATTTTAAAAACCTCTGCGCCAATTCCAAGCAGATCTATTATAATGTCATCTTATCCTGGTGCTCTGTCATCTCACGACGAGTTCTATTGGCTTCAAGGAGAGAATCGCGAAATGATTATCGCTGGAACGCCAATGACAGACACTAATAGCAGTCTGTGGAATTTTATGAAAGCAAAGAATCAGGTGAATAAAGTTTTTTACATTTTGCTTTTTATAATTTTAACTAATTACAGATATATACATATATGTCAAAAGATATTTATATAAAACAATTTACGATATGATAAAATATGAAATGATATAAATTTTGAATCAATTTCTGTTGTCTATTATTATTTTGGAACATAATCGTATTAAAAATCAATAAGTTAATTTCCTTCTTCCACAGGTAATGTCATCCGTAAGAGTAATGGCGGCGAATCGTCTAGCAATAAACGGACGTTCCTGGTCTCGTAACATGTCATTGCAAAATGGTACTGATACAACGCGGCAATGGGTCATTTTAGAACCGCGTGATAACGTCGTCTGTCTTGTCGAGCAATTGCCGGGGCTTATTCAAATAACGGATGTCAGCAAGCAGATCGTCAACACTAACGTACTTTGGGTCATTGGTGAAGTTCATCTTCCCAAAATCAACATGATAATTAACGAAAACGAGGAAGGGAATGACGATATGACAAAAAAAGAGCTAGCCGCAAGACTACAGAGCAACATTACTACGACGGAACACTTTAGGAGGTTGATGCGAGGATACAGTCACGAGAAGTTTATCATTAAAAATGAGGATCCGGTACAGATTTTAACTAATAGAGGAGACCTGGAGAAAGTTGATTTACCATTCGGTATAATCGACACGAAAATCATCCTGGCCGATGATGACGGTGTGAAAAGTTTTGAAGTCACTTCCGGACCGAGTATGCTGGACTCCACGCAGCCTTTCCAATGGTCGACTACTTTCCCCAACGTCTCGCATATAGGTCAGCCCGATATTTTCAATTTCGACAGCGTTACTCCTCTATGGGTTTGGCTTTGAGTCGTGAGAGATTATCTAAATATATAAAAATAATTATATTAGTAATGACAAAAAGATAATTTTTTAAATTTTTATTAGAAAAAAAAATAGCAAGCAATAAATTACAAGTAATACAGTTCGAAATAATAAATGATAAAATATTAAACCGTTTAATGTTATAATAATGTTATAATGTTATAAATTAAAAAATTGTCAAATAACAGTGAATCGAAAAGAAATTATTTTTAATTGATTTTCATCAATTATAAAATTTTGTTTTTCGGTTTCCGATATCTTTATTGAAACTGGTCTAAATTTTTAATTTGAAAAAACAGCAAGCTCATATGTTAGCCACCTACCGTGTGAAATTTTTAGAAAATAAAGTAAAATAAATTTGAGTTATGAGACATTTATTTTTATTCCTTCGATCATTTCCTTTCCTATTATTTTAAACAAGAGTGATAATTAACCACTACAACTTAAAATGCTTAGCATTTTTATTAATTAATTGATAATCACACACAATGTAATTTGTGATCTTATTTTTAGTTTCAGTTTATGATTGCGTTTCTAATCCGACAAACTAAGGCGCACAATTTATAAGACTGAAAATATGTATTTGCAAATTACAAGCATCATAATCCGCTTTGACTGAAAATAGAAATCTTTTTCTTATTTGATTTTTTATTTTATCCCCCACCTCCTCTCTCTCTCTCTCTCTCTCATTGGAATTTCATTTATTCTCGCTAAATTTTATTCATAAAAATAATTACTATTATTAGTTATTTTATTTTTATAAAATGGTCCCCTTTTTTTATCTTATATTTTACATATTGTATATATTTTCTTATGAATGTCTTTATATTTTCTCCTGTTTTGTTCAGAAAATATTCATACTTACAATTTAATTCTTCATTTTTTCATTTAATTAATATTTTTGGAGCTGATATCGCTTTAGTTTATTTTGTATAATGAAATTTTGTAAAATAAAATACACGAATCATACATATATTTTAATATAATATATAGAGATATTTTTTTTATATTATTTCAATAAAATAAGGTTTTTTGTATTATCAAGAATAATCACATAATATTTTAAATATAAAAATACAGGTCATGTAAGTAATATGCAACACTTGTCAATTATTATATTACAATTTTGCAATTTCCATTTTCGAGATTACTTTATTTTCATGACAGTATTTTTCTCTTACTTTATGCATGTAGGCACTAACTTACTATTTGTCTCTGTGTCTTATAATTATGAAATGCGGTTGCAATATTGCAACTGTGCAATGAACGAAATGTTTGTTATTTCTTTTCAAGTAATTATGTTTCAAAAAGAAAAGATATGCAACATATTTTGAAGAATACAAAATATCTTACTATTGCTATATTGTTATAATATGATTTTAATATTCATTGTAGTGCCATATCTAAAATACTACATATAACAGAATGTATGATATTAAATAAAATCAAAAAAGATGTGCTGCTAATTTAATGATATATTGATAAACATCTGTGAATGAATGAATAATTCATATATTAATATTAAAATAAAATGGACATACCTGTATTATACAGTACATATAGATCGAACTTATATTGTCAATGAATTTTATTATTTTATTATATGATACTTATTAGTTCACAAGTCTAATTTCTTCATTTCTATATAAATATCTCTCAAATATCTCATGAATAAAGTTATTGGTAACATATTTAGATGTAAAGAAATTGACTATCATAATACGTAAATATCTATAAAACAAAAAAAAAGATTCACGATGCTTACATTTATATTATTGTACTCTTAACTATGTAAAGAAATGTTTCGTTTCAACATATCTACTAGTCTCTTGCAAGAAGAAGTTCGCCATTGCTCTACTTAAAACCCACAATCTTGCGGCGAGTGTAATAGCGGGTTTAATAAGCTGTAACTATCACTTGAATTAGTAGAATTAGATAGATGCAGTTTTCAGGTAAGACACAAAAAATGAATCGGATAATACAAAACATCCATATAAAAGCGACTGTCATATTGTACTGCTAGCATACGCGAAATGCTTATGCTACCATCAAAATGGGTAAGCTATTCTAACATATCTCTTTCTTTGTTTTTATTTAACTAAAATCACTAAAAATCATCTTTATAATTTTTAGGTAATATATATCTTGTTGATGATCAATTGCGCTGGCGCACGCTGGTCGCGCGTCAGTCGTCAAGCGGGATATTCTTATCAACGACCCAACGTACCATTCTCGTTACCTACGGAAACAGGTAGTCAACAAGGATATCCAAGCTCTCAACCTAGTTACTCTTACCCTCCACCGCCACCGCCTCCTCCGCCACCTCCGCCTCCGCCACCGCCACCACCTCCTCCTCCTCCTCCACCAGGATATCCAAGCACTCAACCTAGTTATTCTTATCCCCCGCCACCACCTCCACCACCACCACCACCTCCTTCCCCGCCAGGATATCCAAGCACTCAACCTAGTTATTCTTATCCCCCGCCACCACCTCCACCACCACCCCCACCTCCACCTCCTCCACCTCCTCCGCCGCCGCCGCCACCACCTCCGCCGCCGCCACCACCTCCGCCGCCGCCACCACCTCCACCACCACCACCACCCACAAGGTACAAACCCCCGGCACCACCACCACCTCCACCACCACCACCACAACCTCCTTCCCCGCCAGGATATCCAAGCACCCAACCTAGTTATTCTTATCCCCCGCCACCACCTCCACCACCACCACCACCACCGAGATACATACCACCGGTACCGCCACCACCACCACCTCCTTCCCCGCCAGGATCTCCAAGCACTCAACCTAGTTATTCTTATCCCCCGCCACCACCTCCACCACCACCACCACCGAGATACATACCACCGGCACCGCCACCACCACCACCTCCTTCCCCGCCAGGATATCCAAGCACTCAACCTAATTATTCTTATCCACCGCCTCCACCTCCTCCACCTCCTCCGCCGCCGCCACCACCTCCGCCGCCGCCACCGCCACCACCACCACCTCCTCCGCCGCCGCCGCCACCACCTCCACCACCACCCCCACCTCCACCTCCTCCACCTCCTCCGCCGCCGCCACCGCCACCACCTCCACCACCACCACCACCACCACCTCCTCCGCCGCCGCCACCACCTCCGCCGCCGCCACCGCCACCACCACCTCCTCCTCCTCCTCCTCCTCCTCCTCCTCCTACACGTCGCACATATCTACCTCCATTTCGACCTACACCACGTCCGCCTGCTACATACCTACCTCCTGTCCACCAACCGTCTGTATCAACACCCGCACCTACGTATTTACCACCTTACGGACAACAGGGAATCGCATCATTAGCTGCAGGTGCTTCCTTTGTTCCCAGTCCTTCAGGTCCTGGTCTTTCAAACTTTCCAATAACTGGTGGTATAATAAAGTTAAGCGGTCCAGCTCAGAGTTCAAGTTTTGCGACCAATCCTTCAGATGATTTTCCAAACTTTCCATTAACTGGTGATGTGATAAAGTTGAGCGGACCAGTTGGAGGCTCAAGTTTTGCGACCGCCTCAAGTTCAGCCAGCGCTAGAGCGTCGAGCAGAACGTTTATTGGACAACAAAATTAGCCGAGTCTGCAAGCGGACTGTGAGCTATCCTTCCACATCGGGATATCCCTCTGTGACACCAGGATATTCCTCGGCAACAATACGGCACAGGATATCGTTAACTCTATCACTGGGAAGAGTTAAATTCTCCTCAAAATTACTCAGTATTCCTCCATCTATTTAATTTATTTGGAGGTTTAATTTATTGGTTTAAGTTATTCTACGCGAAATTTTATAACTTTACATAAACACCAACGACAGTATCAATAATATGAGAAATACCAGAGAAATAATATGAGACCTATCATTTGGCCATCATGATATCTTATAATTAGATTAGCAATAAGTTATGGTTACGAAATTTGAAGAACTTGTTTGCAATTTATAATCAACTGATGTGAGATAAAATTTTTACATTGTTCAAGATAAATTAGAAATTTTATAATATTGTATCTAGATATAGTTCGTGAAAATTGATAATAAATTGTCTATTCTTTATTTTTAAAACAAAACAAGTGAATATGTAGAGGTGAACTAAAATGTTGAAAGTATATAATGAAAACGTACAAATCTTACGATTTAATTCCTGTTTTCAATGGATTAACTGCATTGATAAAGTAACTTAAATTTTACAACGGAAAATCTTAGATTTAAGTCTAAAGAAAAAGTCTTATGTAAAACAAATTAGTTATATTTTAATATATCTTTACAATCGATAAAACATCAGTGATAGATTCATAATAAATATATTTATATATTTAAGCACAATGTTTCTTTCTCGTTGTAGCAAATAAAGGAAGTCAATGGCTTATTTAAAAAAACTTTATCACATTTTAACAACATTAAGTTAAATTTCAGAATACTCACATAAATTTGACTAACGCGTTATTCAAATATTATTTATCGAATTAAACGTTATTTAAATGTTTTGATTACGTACAATTTGTTTTTTTCAAAAATTAGATCTCAAAATTACTTACATAAAACAAATGACATTTCATCTGCAAAATTCAATAAATATCAGAGATACCTTTGATAAAGTAATCACAATTTTCTATAAACATCTAACAAGCGAACGATTAATCATTTTAAATATATCCCACAGTTATTCACGAATCATCCCGCGATCATATTTCACTATGCAAGGAAGATATTCGGATGAGTTTCATCTCATACTGTAATCTACTAGGAATGGTTGGCGACTTCTTATTCAGTAAAAAACTACAAATCAATGTAAGATTAAACTATGAGATGCGACACGTCGGCAGTGTAGGCGGCGGGCGACAATCGGATGTCGTCGGAACGGGAGATTGGCCGTTGTCTCAAATCGCTGTCACCAGGCCAGGCGCGACCTGGACTGCGCGAGCCCACGTTCACCCTGGCGACTGTGTCGACCGCTAAGCTCACCGTCGCGGGATCGTTCAGACCATTGCTCTGGATCCTTCGCTGCGTGACTATCGACGCCCGCAAAGTTTTCCGTTTCTGCTTACGAAACAAGAGAATGCAGTAATTGACGGCAAAGATATATGAGATACGATCTAAAAGTGCTAAAGTCTCATGAAGATAAAGATCTCAAAAGTAAATATCTCAAAAGTAGATTTTAAGGATTTCTTGTTAGACAACTTTAAGAAATTCCTTAAGAAATAATTTCAAGAGCAATGCTTTCACAAATAAAATCGTACCATGACCGGAGTAACTTAATTATTTCGATTAATTTGACGTAATTTGATTAAATCAACCCTATCGACTTCTTTAGATTGATTAAATTGAATTACCTCGATCATCCCTCGCCACTTGTCGGCGGCATGTCTTGCTAGTTCCATTTTTCTCTGTTTACGTATTTGGTGCTTCTTGTATGCCATTTCGATTATAATTAGAGCGACTCCGCCGCCGATACCGACACCGACGACGATGAACACCCCTGCCATGTTTTCTAGGCCGAGAGTGTTTGGCATTTTTTCAAATTGCTCGCATTGTTGCACATTGCCATGCAAGATCCAAAGATTGTCGAGACTCTCCATGAAACCACCTGCAATAGAATCACGATTAGAAGAACGTAACAAATCTCATTGAATGGAAAATCGGAATCGCGCGAATATGAAGTGCCTTACATTAAGACTTGTTGCACACTCACTTTCGTGGAAGTCTAAGATCGCCAATGTCACAGCATCCGCCCAAGGTGATCCTTTTTGCAAACCAATTCCGTAACCTGAACGGCCAAATAGTTCACCAGCCGTCACTAATTCGCAATCTTGAGCTGCTTCGAATTCTAGTCGCGAGCTATCCCAGATGAAGGCCATTAATTTTCTAAAGAAAAAAAGAGCGATCGTGTAATCACGTGCAAAATATATTAAAACGATATGATTATTGATGTTGACAAAGATATTTAAACGTCTGTTAATTAAAAATATGTTAATTAAATGTATTAAATATATTGCTTCAATTATTTTATGCAACATACGAAATCGAAGATACTGAGATTTTAGATAATGAGATTTTAAGATTATAGATTTAATATATTTATATATATATTTATATTATATAATAATTCAATAATCTAAGATTTTAACTTAAGTAAAAGATTAACGATCCCAAAAATCGAAATGTTTACCCAATTTTAATGTCGCGAATCGCGTCTTCGGCAGTGTCATAGTTATTCGCCTCCATTGTACGATACATATTAGACAATTCTACTTGGCGTCTGAAGTACATGTCCACAGCGGATCCCTTCACTGTTGCACACGTCAAATTCTCCATCGTATTCCTGAGCTTTACAAGTAAACATCGCAAGTGTTTATATCGGATTGCATATACCAGATACATTGATTCTCGGTAAGGAGCATAGTTTTAATCCTTACTCGAGCGTCGTTGATGCCGGTGAGTTTAGTTTTTGGTCGCTCCAAAACGAGGAACGCCGCCAAATTAGCGGTGTACGATGCGACGATGATCATAGCGAATCCCGCCCACACCATTCCCAGTACACGCGCGGAAAAACTTCGTGGAGTACCTACAAAATATAAATGACAATAAAAAATTTGATTAATAATTAAATGGTCACGTAGAAAACGATCCAAGTATATTCGAGAGCTCTAGTTTAAAGATTCTTCGACTTTTTAATTATTTTTTTCTTTTCTAGTGTTTCTCCCTCCAAATGCGACATTTGATTATGAAATGAACGAAAAAGAGATGAAAGAATAATACCTTACCCTCTCCTATACCGCTGTTCAATAATACACCCCAAGCGAACCAAATAGCACTGGATAGATTGAGGGCATCTTCCTCGGTGCCGTCAGTGTTGGCTAGTTTGAATCTGCCGAAGGGTGAAAATCGATCGAGCAGATACAAAACTAACGCCACTACGTGTACCGATACCATTACGAGGATCCAAAGGGTATTGCTGAACGGTTGTAAGAAAGAGACTAGAGTGGATGATCTTGAAGGCTAAACTCAGAAAAATATACATATTTAGTTTTGCATAAAATATATGACGTTTTTATTTTGTATAGAATTAAAAAGAATACCTTTTTCTCAAGGATAGTGATGCCTTGATACTTGAAGGGCTTACTGAATTCGATAAATTCAGCACGCTCTGGATTGATTGTTAATGGTGCGACGATCATGTCCGCTCGTTCGTTGACTATCTCGCCAATAAGACCTGTCCATTCTTTTTTTCCTCCGACTTTATCGGAACACGAGAAAAGAACAAGAAAAAATACAAAATAGAAATTTAAATTATTAATCCCTTGATGTCTAAAAATTAATTTAGAAACTAGATAAAATCCAAATGGATTCTTTGAATACTTATCCCCAAATAGTACAGCAGCGCTTGCAAAGCGCTAAAAAGCGATTATATACATCTTTTTAGCATTGTTAACGCTGTGTAAGCGCTGTGTGCTACTTGGATCCTTTCTTTAAAAATTTAATCTATATTTATATAAAATTCTATAATTCTGTTACTTACCCGAAGTATTTTTGATCACATAACTGCCAAATTGACCATCCGGCGATAGAGCTAAACTGTATGTGAAGTTAATCGTTTTCGACAATTCCTTTAGTAAATCCACGCAATATCCTTTGCAGCAAAACATTTGATTATCTGTTGAACAGAAAAAAAATTACTTACTTCTATTATATTTTTTAAGTAATTTTGAATACTATTAATTTGACGTAATAGAAACAACTTGTTTGAGTAGACGTAATGTTTATAGAGAATAAATTAATAAATCCAATAAATTGAACTAAAAATTCTCAAGACACATAACTTGAATCAAATTTCGAATAAGTTAACTAAGGAATGATTCAATCAACAGAATCGCTTGTAAATAATTTAATTCTAGTCTCTTTTTTTACGTGTTAATAGGAAAAAAAAAGATTAATAGTTCTATCCAAGCTATAATACAAAATGACAAATATTATTTCATAAATTAAAATAATAATTTAATTAAAAACAAGTCTTGACTATTCTGTTAACTAGCAACGCACCGTCTGTTAGGTTGAAGTGCGGACATGCGATCTCCTCAGGTAGACATTCGACCTCATTGTCAGGTAATTCGCGAACATAAACGAATGGCTTCTCCTCGATTGTCAGCACCTTCAAATGCGTGGGTATCATGAAACCTTCGGGTTTGATCTTCAAACGACCCGGCCATATAATGTTGGATTCGTTCACTCGCAACTTCATCTTGGTACCATTCTATTCAGTAACAAAGAATCATTACGTTTGACTAACACAAGGATGTGTCATTTTATACAGGATGCTTGTTGAATTGTCTACTCACAGCGGGATAAAAGTACTGGCCGACGGACATCTGCGTCTTGTTGTTGTCTTGACCTGTGTATTGGATGTTGACTATGTCATATTCGGCGAATATGCGGTCCCCGTTATCGTCGAATGCCACTCGACCCGTCGAACCATGCGGTAATACTTGCTTGCGAATATATCTGAAAAGACAAATAACAAAAGATAAGAGCGACAAGACAGAACTTTTATTTACCAGGATTGATAGAAAAAAAGTTTTGAA